TGCTGTGCCCGGGCAGGCGCACTGATGGCCCCTCAGCGGCGTCTGTCCCACCGTCCTAACCCCCTTCTGCTGAGCACACGAGGCTCGGAGCGCTGGCCCTCCCGGTCACGCAGCAGCTGTCAGGTGGCAGAGCCCAGATCCATCCGGCTCCAGCTGCTGCTCTTCACCCAGCTGGGGAGCACAGGTGTCACGTTTAGCCAGTGGGGTCACCTTGCTCCTTAAAGGAGGGGACACCTGGGCAGGCGGGGAGCCCATGGAAGAAGGAAGGTGACAGGGGCACACGAGGGCTCAGCTGAGTTCCACAGGGAGCACCACCACCTGCAGGCCAGGCCTCTGGTGTCCCTGCTCTCCCAGTCCTGCCCCGGCCCCGCCTCCCTGCGAGGCCCCGCCTCCCTGCGGCAGGAGGACAGGATCTACCTCCTGCAGACACAGACCCAGGCAAGACTGGGACTAAGTTGTCACTTCAGGTCTCAAATCACAGTATTGACGCTTCTATCCTGTCGCCAGCCCAGCGGGAAGCCAGGGCAGCAAGGCCCCTGGCACAGCCTGGCCCTGAGCCCTGAGCCCTGCTGAGCAGCGTGCACACAGGAGGTGCTTTAATAGGTCTCAGAGCGGGTCAGGGAGGGGGCACTTGGTGCCGAGCTGGGCTCCTGGGTTCCAAGTCCGGTTCTGTCCCTCGCAGTCCCTGACCGGGTGTCTGAGCAGCACCCTCACCCCCCCCCGCCCCCACCCCCCAACTCCTGAGCACATGAGGCGGGCGCCACGAGGTGGCCAGACCCAGCCAAGCACCCTAAGCCTCACGTGGGACCTGGGAGGGGCCTCATTCTCTGGGCTCCAGCAGGGAAGGGAGGGCTGGACCAGGATTTCCTTGGTCAAAGTGCCCAACTCAAGATCAGAGACGCGAACACCACCTTGTCTCGCATTAGGGAGGGAGGAGACGAGTCCTGTGTCAGGGGCACGGGAAGGTTAAGAAGCAGGCCCTCCCTACGCCACCTGCCGTCCTGCCTTTTAACAGACGCGCTCTGTGCCAACATCTGGAGCCACGGGGAGCGTGGCAGCACCCCCCCCTCCCCCGAGCCCTCCGTGCGGCTACGCTTCAGACTCAGAACCGTCCCGGCTCCAGCGGCTCGGCGAGGCCTGCCCACCCGCCACTACGTGCTGTAGGACCTGGGCGAGCTGCAGGGCCTCCCTGAGCCTCGGCGCCTCACCTGCTCCATGGGGGTGAGGCAGGGCCCCCTAAGAGAGCTCTGGGGACACGCAGGGCTGTGCCTCTGTGGCCGGTGGTGACCACCTAACAAGCGCTGGTGCTGGGTTTTGACCGCTGTGTAGGCATTATCTCCAGGAAGGGTGGTGGTCAGGCAGCGCTGGGCTTCCCAGTCAGGAGCCTGGCGTTCGCACAAATGGGGGTGTGAGGAGAGGAAGGCCCAGCAGCCCCCGCCTGGGAGGGGATGAGCGGCAGGGCGGGGTCTGAGGGCCCCCCTCACTGACCGCTGCTGTTTCTGGCCCCCTTGTTCCGGCAGCAGGAACAGCAGCCCAGACAAGTCCAGCTCCACCAGCAAGCCCAGCAGTGAGAGCCCGGCTGTGGGACCGGGACCTGGACCCCCACCAGCTCAGGGCTGAGGTATATATGTGGCTGCATTCTACTTCATCTTTTTTTTTTTTTTTTAATATATTTTTATTGATTTCAGAGAGGAAGAGAGATAGAAACACCAATGATGAGCCCCAGCTGGTTTGGCTCAGTGGCTAGAGCGCCAGACTACGGACTGAAAATTCCCGGGTTTGATTACTGTCAAGGGCACATGCCTAGTTGTGGGCTCAATCCCCAGTAGGGGGCGTGCAGGATATCAATAAAAATGTATAGTTTTAAAAAATTATATTAAAAAAAATAAATAAAAGAAATATCAATGATGAGCCCGGCCAACATGGCTCAGTGATTGAGTGTCGACCAATAAACCAGGAGGTCACAGTTCGATTCCTGGTCAAACACGTGCCTGGGTTGCAGGCTCAATCCCCAGTGGGGGGTCTGCAGGAGGCAGCTGATCAATGATTCTCTCTCATCATTGATGTTCCTATCTCTCTCTCCCTCTCCCTACCTCTCTGAAATCAATTTTTAAAAATAATTTTAAAAGAGAAAGGAAACATGAAACCCTGAATCGAACCCGGGATCCTTCGGTCCACAGGCCAATGCTCTGTCCACTGAGCCAAACCAGCTAGGGCCGTTCTGCTTCATCTTGGCCCCGTGATTTTATGCAACAGAAGATACCGGTTTCAAAGGGGTTCTTTAGATTTACAAAGCGTGTAATCAACTGTTTACTTTAATAAACATGGACCTTGCCCGAGGTTCGTGCCGCTTGAACGCAGGGCTGAGGCGGACTCTGCAGCTGGACTGCTGGCGCCCAAGTTCCCTCCACACGTCCCAGCCGTGGGACCCGGGCAGGTGCGTGGCCCTGAGCCTCAGGCTCCCCATCCGCCGCGTGGGGAGAACGGCAGCCGGCTGCTAGGAGGCTCTGGCGGTGAAAGGACCCACCCACAGCGCCCGGCCTCTGCTGCGCTCTCCTCGCTGGTCCTGGCTTCAAAGCCAGGCCCGGTAGATAATGGCCCTGGTGTCCCGGGGCCGCGCAGATGCCTACCTGCTGGGCGTAGCCTCGGAACATCGGGTTGACCAACTTGATCCCGTGGGACAGGCTGGTGGGAACCACGTAGCTTGGGCTGTAGGAGAACCAGATCTATGAGTGCAGGTGGCCGGCCTGGGCTCCAATCCCCTGAGGGGTGACAGGTGGCCAGCAGTGGGGGGCCAGACTCGGGGAGGGGTTTACCACGCCTTTGGGGGGCGGTGACCCGCCAGGAGCCCCAGCAGGCTCACACATCTGCACAGTCAAGAAGGAAAAGGTCGCCCGGCCTGTGTGGCTCAGTGGTTGAGCGTCAACCTATGAACCAGGAGGTCACGGTTCGATTCCCAGTCAGGGCACATGCCCGGGTTGCACATGCCCCCAGTGGGGGACATGCAGGAGGCAGCCAATCAATGATTCTCTCTCTCACTGATGTTTCTATCTCTCTCCCTCTCCCTTCCTCTCTGAAATCAATGAAATATATTTTAAAAAAAGAAGAAAGTATCAAGTCATAGCTACGCCAGGCACAGGGCTCCTGGGACAGCACAGGGATACAGTAAATCTATATAATAAAAACCCAGTGGTCGTAACGCCGCAACGACCAAAGCCCGGTCACCAGGAGGCTGTGTGGGTGACGAGGCAGCTGCCAGTGGGCGGGGACTTGACTCTGGGTCCCACAGCGCGCCAGGACTTGGGGGTCCCGGGTCCTGTGCAATTTCCCGCGGGTCTGGGTCTCTCGGGATTTCGCGCACTGGGTCACTAGTAATGTAATAACTGGTGTGGTGCCAGGCAGCCTGGAGACGTCAGCGAGTCGCTCTGTATGTCATATAAGCGCCTGAGCACCGTGTGTACACCTGACACTACTATCACACCGAACGTGAGCAGTGACTGAAGAGTAACAAAAACAGAAAAATCTAAAATTTCAGGAAAGCCTAACCAGGAAACATGACCACCCAGAGATAACTACCATTAAGATTTCTAGATTTCCCCGTGAAAATACAGATATATACAAAGTCATATTCAATGTATATACTTAAACAAACTTGGCTTCTTACGACACTGGAATTGTACTGCATCATACTGCTTTGTGGGTTTTTTCTGTTTTATATATATATATTTTTGCATCATATTGCTTTGTAACCTGCTTCTACACTTAATACATTTCTATGCTCTCCTTTTAAATTATTTCCGGTTTTGACTTTTCCTGGAGAAACGGGTCTAATCCAAGCTTCTGGCCTCCAAGTTCGTTTCACACGGAGCTAAAGCGCCAGCTGCCACCGATGAGGTTCCTTCCCGCGGGCAGTCGTGGCTGAGACCCAGGCGGTCGCGATGGGCGTGGGCCTGGGCACACACATCTGAAAAGGGGCTGCCGGCTGGATCGGCACCAGGTTCAAACTCTAGCTCCATCTCTCATAAGCTGTGACCTTGAGCAGATAGTTCAACCTCTCTGAACCTCGCCTCCCCAGTGTGTAAAATAGCTGGTGATGATTTCCGCCTCGCGGGGCTGCCAGCAGCGACGGAGAGAAAATCCCGCCCCCAACAGCTGCCCAAGTCCGGGCTGGCACTCACCGTTTCCTGTGCCAGACCTCGGACACCAGCTTCTGGTAACTCTTGCACAGGGCGGGCTTCTTGTCCGTGCGCACCAGGCCGCCACACTCCAGGAAGAACTGGGTCAGCGGAGGGCTGGGGCCGGTCCGGGGAGAGAAGCAGGGGAGCGGGCAGCGGTGAGAAAGAGCAGGGGGAGAGGCAAGAGCCTCCTGGGCGGATGAGGAGGAGGATCCCGCCGGGTGTGGGCTGAACTGTCCCCAGATTTCTCTGCTGGAGCCCTAACCCCCAGCGCTCAGAGGTGGCTGTGTTTGGAGGGTCTTTACAAAGGCGATTCCGTTAAACCGAGGTCATCGGGCTGGGCCTGACCCGGTGACTGGCACCCTCCTGAGAGAGGGACCCGGAGGCAGCACGCACTAGGGGGCAGGAGCCACACTAGGGGGGAGGAGCCGCACTAGAGGGCAGGAGCCGCACTAGGGGGCAGGAGCCGCACTAGGGGGGAGGAGCCCTCTCGGTGAGTCAAGCAGAGGCCGCGGAGAAGCCAGCCCTGCGACACCTTGGTTTCGGACGTGCAGCCTTGGCGCTGAGGGGGAGTAGCTTGCCCTTGTCTAAGCTCCTGGCCTGTGGCCCTTCGCTCCGCGGCCCTGGCGGACTCAGGCAGCCCTTTCCTCTCCCAGGTGAGGGGGGCCCCCAGGTGAGGGCTGGCTGTGTGAGGGAGAGGAGCGGCACCTGCCCCTCCCGTCACCTGCTCTCTGGAAACTTCTGAGCCTGAAGACATCTCCCCTAACCCCTCTCCTTAGGCTTTTAAGCTGATTTCATTCCACAAGAAGCAGACATTCCCCGAAGAAAAACTAGGAAACATGGGTCAGCAAACAACGATCATCGACCTGAACCCTCCCACGTGAGACAGCTGCTCCAAAGACGGGGGGCACGTCCTCCCAGACTCCCCGGACCTTTAAGTTGTTGCCGGTAAACCACAGGGTGAGGCGCGTCCTGCCCACACCCCTCCCTCCACATCTGCTACCTCCTTTCCCTGAATTCGGTAGCGGGATCACTGGGTCAAAGTGCATGCGTGTTTTTAGGGGTGTTTGTTGTTTTTAGGGGTTTTGCTGTGTATCCACATGCAGGCGTCCGTGGGCATGTGCAGCACAGCTTGGGGGCTGCTGCTGCTATTTCCGGGGTCCCGGGCACAGCTCCTGCCCCTCGCAGGGGAGGTGACAACCTACCAGTTGGACAGGGCCTGCAGGGCGGCGTTCATGTAGCAGGAATTCCCCAGGTTCTTCATGCCCGTGAGGCCTGGAAGCAACGTGTGGGGAGGGAGGTGAGCACCTGCCCCGCCAGGAACCCTCACATTCACACGGAGATGAGCCGCCTGCCGGGGCCGCCAGAGGAGGACACGGGGCTGGTGTTCCGCCCAGAGATCCGCCAAGTTAATGTGGTCCCTGCTCGCCAGCCATGATGACCGAGTGCATCAAACGGGACAACTGTGCCCCCACCGGCCCCCACCACCCACACAGCCCAGGCACGGGCCGTGCAGAGGGGCCACCCTCCCGGGGCCACATGGGGAGACGGGGCAGGAGGGCCAGGCCTCCAGGACTCGGCTGGTGGCTGCGCGCCAAGGGAAGCCAGCACG